TTCATCAGCATTGTGCTCAAAATTGCCACAATATCCTGCTGTGTGATACTGCCTCACCAGCACAGCTGCTGGTGTATCACTTCTGTTCAGCAGTCATGCGCTGGCGCATGAGTCTTAGGCTTGGGAAGAAAGAAGCTCTTTGTAACAGCTGTAGATGTGAATGAAATTTTACACGTGCAATATTGATATCTAGCCAAATAATAATAATGTGAATAAATCCTGGGGAGAGATTTGAAATGACTGAAATGACTTGAAACATTTAGAGAAAAAGTAGAATCTCTCTCTACTGTTTTTTTGACAAAGTGAAGCTGGGCCCCATAAGGGCTTATGCATGTTCAGTTGTATTTTTACTTTGAGAAGAAGACTCCCTCTCTCCTCTTCAGAGCTTACCAATACCTGCTTCACAAACTTTTGGCAATTAGCTATTTGTACAATAAATGCCATGATTGCAGGTGTGCAATGCAGGTTTTGCATTGCATAACCCGTTTCAGAGGGTTTCGTTTTGCAGAATTTGGAATGCTGGTTCTCATAATTTTGTCATAGTCTGGGAAGAAGGATTCATGAAATAAAGGGAAGCACTAGATGCATGTGAGTAGAGATATGTGCCAAGCACAGAGGCTATGTCTATTTCCTGGTCCTGTCTTCTAGTTTCTTGTTGCTCAGTCCATGTGCTTTCAGGGCTAGAACCTTGCTTAGACAAAGAAAGGGAAAATGAGAAAGAAGGAACCATGTGGGCTAGATTAAGAAGAGAGCGAGGAAGCACAGTCTCCCAGCATTTAGCAACAGCTCTCCGTTTGTGTGTTAAAGCCCACGTTCTATCATACCCGTTTTGGGTTTGTCCTCTGTCACCCAGAATATGATAGTAATTTGTCCATAATTTTTGTGTTCCTAGATAGTTTTCCACTGAATTACTCACTCCGTTTAAAATTACACTACATTTCATAGGACAGGCCATCAATTTAACAGTGCTTCATAATGTTAGTTCCACCTTGTTTTGCTTGCAGTTATTATGTTGATTTGGTAACTACAATTCAGGTCAACTGACAGTGCAAGCTGAACCATGTCTACTCAGAAGTAAGTCCTATTGAATTCAGTGGGGTATACTGCCAGAAAAATGGGGTTAGGACTGCAGTCTTTGTCATGATAACTAGGTTGCACCGGAAATCAAAGGTAAGAAGTTATTTATTCTCAGTGAGCTAAAGTTTGGGGATTGGGGCAAATGGCAGGATGAACTAAGCCAGGCCGTGAATTAGCATCTTGTTTCCATGTGTTTTGAAAATGTTTTCATTGTACAAAGGAACAGTCGCTGAGAGAAAAAAATAGGGGGGATAGACTCTGTAGCTGTGGCTCTAACTGACATAGCCTATGATAATTTGGACACAGGGGAGCTTTGGGTGTTAGGAATGGGGTAACTTCAGCTGGAAAATTCATTCTTGTATCTTACAGCTGGTTTACAGGCAACACTTAGAATCAGAGATTTGGAAGAGACCCCGAGGGTCATCTAGTTCAACCCCCTGCAATGCAGGAAACTCAGCTAAAGCACCCATGACTTAAGGGTGATGTGATGGTTTAGCCAGCTTACAGTCATTCACACATCTGAAAACCTTATCAAAAGCCTTCGGTGTTCAATTTGGTTATTGTGTTAATTGGAGCCCCTATTTATTAATGGGAGGCTCTTTGCCTTTTACCAGCTACATGGCAGGCAGAAATGCATGAGGTTCAGTTCAGTCACTGATCCCCATGTCCTTAAAAAGCTTTCATTTGTTGGGTTTTAGCTGACCATGCTCCCTTTTAAGGCACAGAGCCTCTGTCGGAAAGAAAGGTGGCAACCTGGTGCTTAAGTTTCTCTGCACCTGGAATGGACCCCTTCCTATTCTTTAGAGGGAAAGATGTCATAGTTGTAACACAGATTAACTGATTATATCTGTGTGAAACATTTGCTCCGTGCAACTGGTTCTCAGCACAATGCTCACTTTTGCTCCCTCGTTATTTGCTCCCAGGAAAGGGGGGGGGGGGTAATCAGCTTGACCTGCTCCTGTGCCTTGAGTGGCAGCTTGATGTGTGGAAAAACTACAATCTGAAGCTCTTCACACCATAGAACTAAACATTATTACTTGCTAATGTCTGCTCTGCATATCAATCTGTGATCAAAGGCAAGGCTGAAGAGTTGGCAGCCCTCAAATTCAGGTTTTTGTTTCACTGAAGTTGCAGTTCTGTGGGTGGAATTCAACTACATTTTAGCACATGGCTAAGTTAGGTCCATTAATCTCAGTAGGTCTATTCTGAGTAAACTGAATCCCACCCTATGCACACTTACCTGGGAGGGAGCGGCTTTGAAGATAGCATGGTTTAGTACACATGTTTAAGAATGGGCTGAATCTGTTCAAAGATAGCACAGCACAGAACATTAGCTATATATTACTGTACCCTATAGGCTCTGAGCTGATTCTCATGGCAGATTCATCTCGTGAAGAATGCAAGTAACATGTGGTGAAGACCAGCATGTGTGAAAATGTGATCACAAATCTAACACACTCCACATAAATTGATTTGGAAACAATAAGCTCATGTACTCAGCTGATAGCCACCCAGTGTAGTCAATTGATGTCTATGTCTATGTGAACCACAGTTCTCAATATTGGGAGGATGATTTCTCGCTGATATTTATTAAAAATGCTGTATTTTATGTAATGTATTTTGAACATATGCTGGCAAATAGCACCCCCTAAAATGCCATTTTTAAAAAAACAGCAACAGCAGCATCAAAGAGTCTTGTAGCACCTTAAAAGACACGCAGTTTTTTATTTTCATATTATTAAGTTATTTTAGTCTCCATGGTACAGAATTTGAGAAAAATAGTTTGTGTTCTTATGGCTCTACAACAGCTGTTCACAGAAACATTGATAGTTTTTGGATAGTTGGTACAATGGATGATACAGGGGTAAAATATTTATGGACAAAGAAGTACAAAAGGCTGAGCTGTGTCTCCTTCCACCATTGAAGTTCTGTGGCTCTGATCACTCACTAATTAATGGGTCAAGAAGGTTTCTCATGCATATTCACAGATCTGCCCTACAACTGAAAGATTATGTTCAAATATTTTAAAGCACCATGATTTTGTTTTTGTTTTTTTAAAATGTGTTCACTTGCAGCTTCGTCTAGAGTAAATAAATAGTATGGTTTTACTCTGATTGCCTGGATCAAAACATGCAAGCAGCAAGCAATATCATTCATGCAGAAGAGAGAGGAATATCCTCAAAATGTACAGCCATTGTTCTGTGACAATATATTTGATCAGGTGACTTCTACACCTTGCAAATTGTTTTCATGAATATTTAACCAACCAAGGGATTGTATGAGTGGAAATTCAGGCTAAGTCAGTGTCCTTAGGCTGTTTGACTTTACATTCTGCCAAGAAAGGTATTTTAAAACTAAAATTTGATCACTTCCCTACCAAATCAGTTAATGGCATTTCTTAAAGATTAAAAAAACACAGAGCTACAATTGCTTTTCTTAGATAAATACATTTTAAAGCTAAGTCCTGGATTCCACCCCATTCCTCTGAAATTGGTACAAACAGTAAAATTATTAAGCAAATAGACTTGAAATTAAAATGCACACAGTAAATTAAAAGGTGTGGAAAATAACTGACATAAACTATGTATAGTGCTAAATATAAACATATGACCCACATTCCAAAGGCAAAGATAACTTCTATAGCAAGCATAAAAAGAATATGCATATACACAAAACATACAAAAATGAGTATAAAATGAGAAAGGTCTTGCCAACAGAGAAAACAGTGAAAAGAAAGATATAAATGAGGATTGGGCTATAGTTTCGTAACTAAACAAATGTGCTTTGGGTAGGTTGCCCTAGAATATTGGTGACTATGGAATCACAATGGGAACAAGGAACCGAAGGTGATCTTCTGTTTTGGCCCCCCTGTCTGAGGACTGACATTTTTACATAAAATAATGAACACACTCTGACAGCTCAACCTAACAGGAAGTTCTCACATGCAAGTCTCCTGGAAATAAAGGGGAGCTTTGCAGGAGCATTCAGTGGGGCTTGCACAGCACCTCCTGGCAGATTGTCCCCAAAATGTTTAGATCTCTAACCACTATATCTGGTCATTTCTGTGTTCTGAATCTTTTCACTCTTGCTTTGCCTTTAAGGAGGAAATCTGCTTGTTATTGGCCATCAGATTTAAGAGCCAAAAACCTCATGCAACAAACAAACAAGTAAAGCCCTCTTGGCTGCAAGTCTCATCATGCCATTTGCTTCTCTCAAATTTCTCTCTCCTCGCTCTCTTTTTTATTTGGGGCATGCAGGAAGAGGTCAAGAGAGAACAAGAGGGCTCACACCTGCTACATCTTTTGAAGGCTCCCGTTTACACCCAGGAAATAAAACAAGCCGGATTTCCAGCCCCTGCTTCTCTGCTCTCTTCCCCACTGCAGGAGTGCCAGGTCCCTGGAGATGCTCTGCTGCTGCAAACCCTTTCCCACTTGCCCATCCCCTGAATACGAAGTTCGAACACTTCCCGGGAGGAGCAGACCAACGCTGACCATCAAGCATGCGAATCCAGAGTCAAACCACACTTGGCCCAGAACATGAAGTCCATCATAGAGGATTAGAGTCTTGGAGGGGGTCTTGGGGGACATCCAGCCCACCCGCTTGCTCAGCAATCCTTAGCCACAACACCTTCTCTATTCCAAATGCATATATAATAGTAATTATGATAAATAATAATATTTGGGGAGCCACTGCATAGGGCTCCACCTTCCTCCTGGAGGGCTCCCGAGCTCTCGCTTTCTCTCTGCGCGGATCCCCTTCGGATTCAGTCATTCCTCGCCTGGGCTGCTGGCCCAGCTTATCCCGAAGACACCACGACGCTTCCCGAGCGAGCCCCTGCGCCGAAAACTTTCCCCCTGCCGCCCTCGCCCGCTTTCGGTCCTGGGCAGCTTCTCCCGAGGAGGAGGCGGAGGATGTCGCCTTACCTGGCGCTGGCGGGCGACGCTGGCTGGCGGCGGCTGCACTTCTGGTCCTCCACATCATCACCATAGCGCGGGCGGACGGGCGGGCGAAAGAGATCCGAAAGAGATGTGGAGGCACCCGGGGGAAATGCCCGCACCCTCTTCCTTGGGGAAGGTGGTCCTCCTCCTCTTCCTCCTCCTCCTCCCCCTGACCCCCCGCCCCTCTGGGCATCAAGGCTGGCGTGAGCGGAGACGGGTGGGGGCCAGGGGGCGTCGGGAAGAGGCAGCGCGCAGCGGAGATCGGCCCCCTTTCCCAAGCCCTCCTCCTCCTCCACCCGCCACCCTTCCCCACACAGCCCCAAATCGGAGAAGTTTCACTGTCCCCAAGTGATGCGCTTTGCTGCAGCCCCGCATCTGGGGACTGCTGCTCCCTTCCAAACCTATCGCCTCTCTCTCTCACACACTCTCTGCCCCCCCCCCAAATCCAGAGCTCCGGGCGACCCCCCCCCCCCTTGCTCGCTTGCCTAGTATTGGGCTAGCAGGATGGACATGGGGCTAACTTCGCATGGCCGGCAGCTGAAATCGGCAGGTAGCCCTTGAGAGGTCTAAATCTGCCTTCGCTCCCGCTGCAGCCCCGTGTTGCTTCTGCTCTGGAGTGACAGCCCTGGAGAGGCAGACTTTGATGCGCGCCTCGTCCCCCTCGGCTGTTGAACTCCACTTGCAGCCCGGGCAAGAGCCCCAGCCCCTCCGGTCCCTGCTTCTGGAGGACCAGACGCGGCCGTCTCCTAGCAACGCCCTCATCAATCTCCGCGGGATGCTCTGTGATTGGGCCGGGCGGAGAGGGAGACGCGCCCGTTTCCCTTCCCCGAGAACGCTCAGGATGCTGCAGCCTGTTGTTTGCATCTTTCCCGCAGCGATAGGTAGACAAGACCCACTGGCTTGGGGGAGCCGGATAGTGTTGCGGGGGGGGCGGGGAGGACAGAGAGAGGCTGGAATGCAAAATCAGGGTCATTATCCGCTGCCTCTGCCTGCTTCTGTCCGGGGTGGTATATCAACTTAGATTCTCCTATTGTCTCTATTCTGAGAAACAGCCATTCACAAACTCCTCACTGTGGTTCATTGATCTTAATGACAGTTTGGCTTGGAATTTAAAATGTGCCTTTAATAAAGTGTGCTTATGTTCTCTGGTAGATGACAATCAACAGGGGAGTGAAAGGGGGGGAAAGGGGAAATAATCATGATGATAAAAATTAAGAATCTTTTAGGATATTTAATATATTAGGTATTGTACACAGTATAATACATACAGGTATATAGTTATTATTAATACAGTATAACTTCATATATATATATATATGAAAAATGAAGGACTTGTACCAGAACAGCCAGGTGTTAGGAAGCTCATTGTCTTTCGACACATGGAGGTGAAAACTGAGGTTAGAATGAAGATAATTCAGCCGCCCTCTCCCAAAAAACCTTGGGGGCAGTGGTCCAACTCTGTACGGGTACAATATCATTTGAGAGCTAGCTATGGATGCATCTAGGGAAAATACATTTATTTATATCCTACTTTTCAAAATTAAAAATCCCCCCAAGGCAGCATGCAACAGGAGAAAACCATAAATCAAAGTCCTCACTAAAACCAACCTGTATAAATCATGAAGAGTGAAATGCAGGAGTGCACAAGACTCGACCCAAACCCAAGCAACGGATAATTTGACAATTTGTCTCATAGAACTAGCATGTGCTTTGTTGGCAGACACGCTTGCCATTAAATATCGAGAAGCATTTCGTAAAAGAAGGGGCAAAAAGGCTTGGAAGCAACAAGGAAGTGCCTTATGTGGAGCTGAAATTAGGGGATGTTGTAAAGAGAAATAAATTTGGTTTCTTCTTCACTCTAAAAAACTTTGGAAATAACCCTGCAGTGCTCTTGGCAATCAAAAAAGAAGTGTTTATTTATCACCACAGGGCAGCAGAGCAACATATTCCATTCCCAAACCACACACATACAGAGAGAGAGAGAGTTCATATCCTGCTCGACAAATATATGGTATATTTATTTAAATTATTTGTTTTAAATGTTTATAAAGCTCTTCATATTAAAACACACACACACACACACACACACATCATTGCAGTGATAAACTTTCTGTCATTAAGGATGAGAGAATACAACTCATTTTCTTCATTTCCTAAACCTACCAGAATCATTTCCATTCTAACTCTGTCACTCCATAGATGCTCCCACACAGGGCTTTGGATGTCTCAGCTTCTTTGCCCTGATTCTCTCCCTCCCTGCCGACATTCATGCATTTTATTTGTATGCCACTTTTACACACACACACACACACACACACACACACAAATTTGTGCTCAAAGTGGCTTAGAACAAATAAATTCCTGAATTGCAGGGGGTTGGACTAGATGACCCTCGGGATCCCTTCCAACTCTACAGTTCTATGATTCTATGAAACAGGGATGCTGCCTGGGCATCAAACAAACACTCCAAAAACATTTCATAATACCATAGCAAAACAACAGCAAATATAACAACATACCAAAGAACCCACATTCCAATACTATAAATTATACACAGTCACTTGTTTAAGTGACTAAACACCCAGCCCAACCCCCTGATGATCTCTCCCAGTGGCTTCATGTAGATGTTAAAAAGCATGGGGGAAAGGACAGAGCCCTGAGGCACCCCACAAGTGAGAGCTCAGGGTCTGAACACTCATTCCCCGTACTTCCTGGACACAGCCCAGGAGGAAGGAGTGGAAGCACTACATAAGTGTCCCCAACTCCCAGCCCCTCTAGATGGTCCAGCAGGGTACTGTCCTCAAAAGTATCAAAAGCCACTGGGAGATCCAGCAGAACCAGGAAACAGCTTTCACCTCTGTCCCAAGCCCTCTCTCCTTGCCTCACCTCAGATTCCCTCTGGCCCAGAAATTCATAGTGATATCAGATGCTATATAATATTGGATTCCCACCACTGGGTACTAACACCTATGAAATGGCATCCTTTGTCAGTTATCAAATATTGAAATGAAATATCATAGATAAATATTGTATGAACATTTGAGAATCCAGAGAACAGTTGAGCTACGTATCAAAATAATTACAGTGGTACCTCGGGTTGCATACGCTTCAAGTTACATACACTTCAGGTTACAGACTCTGCTAACCCAGAAATAGTACCTCGGGTTAAGAACTTTGCTTCAGGATGAGAACAGAAATCGTGCTCCGGCAGCGTGGCGGCAGCAGGAGGCCCCATTAGCTAAAGTGGTGCTTCAGGTTAAGAACAGTTTCAGGTTAAGAACGGACCTCCAGAATGAATTAAGTACATAACCAGAGGTACCACTGTATTGGGAAGAAATTTCTTACAAAGACATTTCAAATAATGCAGCAGCAAGGAGGGGTCAGTTGCCATGTGGCAGCCATATATATACCTATCCATGACAAATACAGTGCATACTTTGGCACTTCTGAATGTTTCTTCATGTTCTCAGATCCATGGGGGTGGGGGCAACCTGCTGCTCTATTTTTTGTGTTCGTACAGGTAGAAAAGAAGGGAGAAAACTGGGGGACATACATAGGGGCACAGGGCTGGCCCTCATTGGGCAAGGTGAAGCAATGCCCTTTTGTGGGGCAGCAGCAGGCCACCCCAACAACTCCTGCTTAGCCCTCTGGCCAAAGATATGTGTGCCCATGCCTGTCATGCACCCCACAGACTGTTGTCTGCTAGTGGAGTGGGGGGATGTTATCCCATTGCCAGTGTTGAAAGGAGATTCAGCTGCCTGCGGAGTCTGTAGGAGCACATGGAAGGTAGCACAATGTCTTGGGGCAGCTCTGGGATGGTCGAAGATGGATGAGGGGTGGGGCAAAGAGGGTTCTCCACCCAGTTTTGGCTCTGGTCTTGCCCCCTCCCCCAGGCAGGAGGCTCCCAACGGGGGGGGGGGGAGTATCATCCGCAGAATGCAGTGAATAAGTGTGGCTGCATTCAGATGTGGGGTTTAATGTGTTCATCTGACCGGTTATTATGCTAGCATTTTCTCACATTCCTTTTGTACTTGTGGTACCTTTTGAATTATGGCTCTGTTGCTCTTTGATCAATATATTGCCATGCCTCACTGAATTTGAAATGGTGGGGAAGAACCTCAAGCCAAGGATATCACCCCAAATTTTGTGTGGCGTTATCTTGAAAAACCATGGGACGAGGAGGAGGAGTTTGGATTTGATACCCTGCTTTATCGCTACTCGAAGGAGTCTCAAAGCTGCTCACATTCTCCTTTCCCTTCCTCCCCCACAACAAACACTCTGTGAGGTGAGTGGGGCTGAGAGACTTCAGAGAAGTGTGGCTGGCCCAAGGTCACCCAGCAGCTGCATGTGGAAGAGCGGGGAATCGAACCCAGTTCCCCAGATTACGAGACTACTGCTCTTAACCACTACACCACACTGGCTCTCCAGTAAATGGAGAATTTACAGTGCAACATTCCTGTGATTTTTCTAGTTAACAGGGTTGCAAACTGACCCCCCCCCCCCGAAACAGTTAACATCAAAATGAGCACTCAATTCTGCTTGATTTCTAGAAGTAACTTTTATGATATGTGAGTGAGTGGGAACTGATTTTTAATGAGTGGGCTGCTGCCATCCTATTTGTGCTGTGACTGCTGGTATGTTTTTAATTGAAATTGTGTGTGTGCATTTAATTGTTTTTTAATAATTGTCCCCACGGCCACCACCAGCACTTCCGCCAATGTTTTTAGTTCTTATTTTATCTGTAAGCTGCCTTGAGTCTCTATCAGGAAAAAGATGGGGTATAAATAAATTAATAATCAACAAACAAACAAACAAACAAACAGCAGGTAAGGAAGCACCAAGAAGAAGGAATAAAGTTTTGCCTGAAAGCAGCCTGTGTGTTTACTTTTTTTTTTTTTGATTTTTAAAAATTGTTTCACAATAAATAAGTTTTCACAATACACTTTCACAATACAATGAAATACAATGCAATGAACGAAAGAAACTAATCTACAGGAAATAAAGAGAAGAATGAAACTGAAGAAAGAAGAAACAGAAAAAGAAACTCCGTCACCACTGTATCTCCACTTTCATCCCCTACAGAGGAAGCTGTGCTCTCACCTGGGCTCATCCCTCTCTTCTCACAGCCTCCCACCCTGTGAGATCTCCCCTGACCCACCTCTCCCATGGGGTCCATACTGTCCTTCCCCTTCATTTGTATATAGTTCTTACCAAAGTACATTGAGAGAGAGAGTAAGAATATAGGGATAATAATACGCTACCAAGAAATTTAAAAATTAAGAGAGAAGAAATAAATAAAAGGACCTCCAGCTATCCACCTGTCAGTTGTGTATACAAAATTTCTTCAAAATAGTCAGATGCAAAATCTGGGTTACTCAGTTATGTTTCCCTTTGCTGGACATTGTTTTCCTCACCTTCCATCCAGAGCTCTCCAGTTCATTTACTTTTTTCAATGCAGAAATTCTAAAGGAGATTCTCCAGTTACTGCCTTCACAATTATAAAACATTCCCTCTTTATTCTTTATCTCCTCCTCCAAAAGAAAACTTTTTTTTACTGTATTTGTATATTAACGTATAGTAGTTCAATTGTTTTAAAATCTTAATTCACATCCCAATCCATTTCCTGTGTCATTTTCATCCAGATATCAGTCCTGTATCCATATATCAGTTCATCAATCCTGTTTGCCATTTTCCTCCTCTTCTAGTTAACCAGAGGGACA